CCATCATTGCCAAGGTGCGCAAGCTGGTTCCGCTACCGGAGAGCAACAGTAACGAAAACATACTGTGGCCGGAGCGACAGTACAAGATCAAGGTGAAGAAAATACTGAAGGTGAGTGATGTCACACGCACGCGCGACGTTTAAATCAAAAAATAAAATCAATCAATCAATTAATCCATCCATCAATCAATCAAGCAAGCAAGCAAACAGACAATCAATCCAATAATCAGTAAACAAATAAATGTATATGTATCACTTCTGAACAGTGAGAAATGAACGTAATCTAAATATTCGCAGCAATATGTACAGATACTCCGCGCTCGTTGTACATGTGTTGTGCTGCTATTCCTTGTTACGCCACAGTTGTCACGTGCCGTGTTGTATTGTTGTGCCCTGCATTCTATTGTAACACATTCTGTTCGATTGTATCGTATTGTGTTCTATTGTTACACAATGTTTTCGACGGTAACACAACACGTTCTATTATTACGTATTGTGTGTTCCATTGTCGCATGGTGTGTTCTACTGATGCGTAAAGAACGTTTCACCTCGTGAAATTTGCAAGCGATTCACAGTTACTCTAACCATCGCTCGTGAGATTAAGTGACTGGAATCGAATACCCTTGTCACCGCCACCGCTGCCCGCCTCTCTCACACCGTGCATCGTAGCATCGCTGTTAAGTCCGCAGTAAGCGGGAGAAACTCATGCATGAGGGGATCGCTTATGTACTGGGAAGGATGCTCAGCAGCGTAGGCGGTAGTGGTAGGAGGAGGAGGAAGAGAAGAACGAGGGGAGAGCAATAGGTGGGTGGGGGGGGGGAACAGGAGAAGAAGGGAGAGGAGCAGGGAAAAGCGCGTTCTTCGCTGTGACGTAGTGCAACACCCGAACGTTTCACAATCACTGCGCAACAAAACACAAGCATCCTCTCGTCACATTAGTAACCACCAAGCATCATCCCGTCACCATGGTAACCACCAAGCATCCTCCCGTTACCATGGTAACCACCAAGCATCCTCCCGTCACCATGGTAACCACCAAGCATCCTTCCGTCCCCATGGTAACCACCAAGCATCCTCCCGTCACCATGGTAACCACCAAGCATCCTCCCGTCACTATGGTAACCACCAAGCATCCTCCCGTCACCATGGTAACAGTCAAGCCACCGCTAGCGCGGAGAGAGAGTTTGTTATGAAACTACAAGCTCTCCATTTGCGTTCTTGGCGCGGCATAGTTGGCGACGTGCCAAGTGCGCGTATGTGCGTGCGTGCGTGCATGCGTGTGTGCGTGCGTGCGTGCGTGTGTGCGTGCGTGCGTGCGTGCG